CTTCAGTCTGTGTAAAAGCCTAAATATGTCTCTGCCAGTAGCTAAAACTTTTGCACGTCAACATTTTAGAATATGTTAAATAATATATAACACTCTTACTTCATTCATTCTATGCTATTGAGTTTGCAGATGAATGTGTTAATATTTTACTTGAGAATCATTGTACAGGAAGATTCAAACTCGTGGTGTCCGCAGTATGCATATGTAAGACTAGCTCTGTTCAGTGGTAGTTAATTGGTGACTTGAATAGCTAATTGAAACTGTCTGTTGTATAGGCCATTTCAAAATAAGGCTCATGTTAATTTTTCACTTGACTTATTATAGTTAAGTGTTGGACAGAGAATCCATGCCAAGAACTCTTAACTTCTCTTCATGGAGAGATTATTATGCTTCTGATTTATTTGTCCAAACAGAAATGTGGTCCTAAAAAGTCATTGTAAAATAAATAGAGCACTAAGAAATCGGCTTACCCTCTTAGATGTGCGGTAACATTCCATCTAGCCATGTCTGAATGCAAATAGAAGCATTCCCTAAGGATTATATTTGAGCTGCAGTAACTCTTTTTTCTCCAGTATGTTTGTTTGCTCTAATAGTACCCTCATAAATAAACTCTTTAAACCATTTCTGCTGTTAATCTGTTTTAGAAAATAATAAAAATAGGGAACAAAAATCCTTTATTATTATTATTTTTAAGACAATACTATAATGAAAATCCTTAAATACTGAAATGGATGAGCAAGCTCACTATATTATACCATTCCTGCCTAGTGACTCATGGCCGTTTTCTTTCTGGGATGATACATTTAGACATAATTGACATTGCTCAGTGAGGACCTCATTCACTTGAAATTAGAGTAACAGTCTTTCCCCAGAAGAATCACAGTGAATGAATAGACGCATGCTTATGAACATGAAGATTGCATAGTAAAATTAATTCTCACTTCCTTTATGGCTTTTCTTAAGACCCAAATGAAAGTGTTACAGCTTGTACAAATGAAATACTTGGTCTGTAGCACTTGGAAGTCTAAAAACGGCCATAGTGGTACAGACCAATGGCTCACATACTCAGTATCTTGTCCTCTATTATATCAAAAGCAGGTCCCAGGGAAGAGCATAGAAACAAAACAATTTCCTATGATGGTTCCTTCCACAGACAAGCACAAGTACTCTCCCAGCCCTCATACTCAAAGACATCCTGAATTGCGTGTGGTTTCTGTGTATTTAGCAACTATCAATAGATGTCTGTGAATCTGGATAACTTCCTCTTGAATCCTTTTAAAATTCTAGGCTGTGCAATGTTCTCTGGTGAACAGATCTGTATCCTAGCTGTATGTTGTACAAAAACCTGCAATTTTTTAGTAATTTTTTAAACTTGCCAATTGTTAGCTTATTTGATGTGCAGTAGTCCACACCCATGGCCTCATTGTTTTGTAAACCTTTTTCATATGCCTCACAGTCATCTCTTTCTAGTCTGAAGAATCCCAGCCTAATTTTTGTCTTACAGAAGCTGTTCCATACCTTGATTACTGCTGCTGCTCTTCTCTGGACCTTGTCAAATAGGGGAGAGTCAAAACTGCACACAGTATTGAAGATGCAGGTGCATTTACAGGTTTATGCAGCAGTTTAATAGTGTTGACTGTTCTCTATTCAGTAATACCTAACATTCACTTTACTGTTTTGATTGCTGCTATGCCCTGATCTGATGATTTAGTGGACCTAGCTGCTGTAACACCAGTATCTCGCTCCCAACAGATAATGATTCAAGTTAGGATTTTTTTTTTTTTGCCACGTACATTACTTTACACTCATCCATGCAGAATGTCATCAACTTATTGATGGTTATTTTTCCAAGTCAAAGCAAGAATGTCTTGCTGTACTGAAAGTCTGCTGTACTGAAAAACTGATAGTAAGGAGAAATAATTCCAGCCTCTGCATCCCTGCATTATGCACATGTGGATGGAAACAGTAAATTTTGCTCATTAACTGATATAATGTGGTAAAAAGTGAAAGAGCTTAATGGTAAAATAAAATTAAGTAAACTGGGTTAGGAAGTCTAGGATTGAAATATTTTTTGGAGATTTATTGTTTGCTTTCTCCATTCCTGTGAATGAAAGTAAAAGCCTCTACAATATTTAAAGTTTCTGAGCAAATTCTTTTGTAAATATTCACTCTTTTTATTTACGACTCTAAATCTTTACTGCAGATAAAGGACAGAAACTGTTCTTGGGTTGAACATCTGGAAATAGTATCTTTTAAACAATTTTGCCTTGAGCTAGAGAATGTCTGTCTATTCTAGCCACAGTATCTGCTGTTTCTTCCCACTGCTCACCCTGGTCTCTCTCTCAGATACTAGCACTTCTATGGTAGAAATAGTAAACCAGAGACACTTCAGAGTCTGACATCTTAGTCTGTCTGGTCTTCCATCAACTTCAGTTTATGTTAGTATATAACAATCGTCATGTCTAAATCTGACGGGACATGTCTTAAAACTCTGAATGGCTTGCAGGGGAGTTGTCACTTGTTTAGTAAAAGCCAGTGCGCTCTAGAGAGAGCGTAGGTAATTGCCTGTGAGACAGGTGGAATTCAAAGGGAGCAGAACTGTAGGTATAGAAGTCCCAGGAAGCCTAACATAAATTCTAGATAACTTCAGTTCATACATTGTATTCTATCATTTATTTTGGAAGGTAGAGATAGTTATAAGCAGCAGGGTTTAATCTTCCTTGTTTTATGAAATTTGCCCATCTACAATGTTAATATAAAGTATCTTTTTCTTTCCTCTACAATCAAGAGGTAATTAAATTTGGGAAAAAAGTACCTTTAATCTGTCACATTTAGAATCTATGATCTAAATGTATTAGACTACAAAGGGAGATTTACTGCGAAATATTTCAGGATGTCTTTCATCCTTTGGTTTCACTTTCTGCTTCCTTTTTCTGGACAGCTTTTCCAGTCCTCAACTGTCCATAAATGACAAAGAAATAAAATGTTCCTTCTTTCTAGGAAAGATAAAACTTGTGTCTGTAATCCCTAGTCTGAAATGCCCTCATTTTAGGGTCTGAAAAAGGGAAGCTTTAAAATCGGTCTCTTGGATGCAAGGGTTCTTCAAGGATGACTTTGTCTGGAGCCAAATGGGCCATGCAGTGTGCCAGCTTGCGAAGATGGGAGTAGGACAGAAGAGGGAGGGAAGTGGAGTAACCAACAGAATCACAGCTGAGCAAGAACAAAGCATAAAACACCGCGGGCTGCTCTCAGGAGAGTAAACACTGTTATCGTTTGGTCATTGGTTTTGTGTGTATACCCATCAGTCATA